AAAAAACGGACGTAAAAATATTCGCATACGAATGCTTTTTCGATCCGTTTACGACTGTTCGTAGGCGATGCACAATTTAAAGCGAAAAAGTGCTCGAAAAGGAGTCGTAAACGGCTATCATAAACGATTTTTAATCCGTTTTTTCTTCGAGAAAATATCCAATTACGAGCTTGTTTACGATGATTTTGCTGGCTGGGTTGGCGGCATAAACTGTCAAAATCTGTAAGAGTGTGAGTAGAAATTCAAACAAAATTTTTCAATTTGATATCAGAAGCAGTGCGGCGAAACACATACACAAAATCAGCTGAGCTAGTAACACCACCTTATATAAATTCGCCTTATATGGAACTGTACGATGCTTTTGTTGCTTATTTTCGGCAATTTCTCTTTTGGTGTTGCCCTTCGCGTTCTTAGAGCAATTCTTTTGTACCATGGCGAATTTATGGGCAGATTATCGATAGCAATCGAACTTCAGTTGCGTTGCTAGTTGCTAAAACGATATTACAGATAGCAACTGGCAACTTTCAACTGACAACTGCAGTTGCTACAAAGTGTGTGTACAGGCGACAACATTTTTGTGGTTGCTGGGGGTATTTTTGGAGCGTATTTAGGAGCGAAAATTGAAGTTCCTCATATATTTGACTTTTTAATAATTTGAACGATATTAACATTTTGCAATGCAGTTTGCTTTTACAGAATATGATACAAATAATAAAACAATAACTTGAAATTTTAGTTCCCGTGGAGTACGCCCTTTTGGCGAAACAAAAGCGAACACGGATTGCAAATTTTTTCCTTTATCAACTGAAGCACCTCTTTTAAAACTACCGACACTCGGACACGGCGGTAGCTCTAGAGGATTGGAATTATCCTTTAACAGGTCTATTCTGCGCTGGCGACATACATTTTGTAACCGGTAATTAAAGTGTCTGTCAATTTTTAAACCTTTTTCGCATTCCGTGCGCTCTTGTAACCGGTAAATTTGGTTACCATCTCATAAACAGGTAACAAAATATTGCCACGTAAAATATGCAATACAAGAATTTCCACAAATCTTCATAGCTGAACTGCTGGAGATTTTCACTGCATTACCAACGTACCTAGAATCGCGGTGACAAGAAGTGGTAACATTTTTTGGTAATACAATTTTCCGGTCACAAAATCTCGGTAACGTGCAGAATAGACCTGTAAATGACTCCTGATTGAGGCCGCGTTAATGCACTTCTCCTCTTAAACAAATAATTGTGATGAACTTAGATTTATTGCTGTCTTTTCTTTAAAACTTAACTTAACTGGTTAACTCTAAGGGCCGTTTGCACCATGTCTAGTGAACGCTAACTGGAGGTACATCCTTCAGTTAAGCACATCAACTGCTTTATCAATCACATGTT